AACATTATTAGTAAATATATAAGTAGGTTAATACATTTTAATACCAATTGGGTAGAGGTATATAAAATAGGTTGTTCAGCAGGGCCTTAACATGCCGAGGGCAAGTGCTCTTGTCAGGCGGTAGGTTGCAGGTTCGTCTCTTATGAGTTAGCCTGAGTCTCATCTTTTCAATATATATTAGGATAAGTTGTGTATTCAATATTATGTACTATATATAATGTAGAAGACTTTCTCTTTTTCTAATTAATAAATTTGAGGCAAGGCCTCGCTGGAACAAAAAAAAAAAAAAAAAAAAGTAAATATTATATTGCATAACATTATACTGCGAAATTATCTAAATTAATTATTTTAATTATAAGTCATAAATTTATTTATTTATTTTTGTAAAATTTTTAGAGATTAAAATTGAGATCTGGTTAAAAAAAATTTTTTTAATTTTTTTAGAAATCAAAAGTTTATAGATCCTTTGTGACCTATGAAAACCTATTGCGTCTATATAATGGATTGCGTCTTGCGTCAATAATTGCGTCTTGCGTCAACAATTGCGTCATGTGTCAATAATTGCATCTTGCGTCAATAGTTGCATCTTGCGTCAAAAATTGCGTCTTGCATCATTGTTAAAAAAAAGGGCTCTTTGACTCAATTCCAATTTTTCCTAATTTTAATTGCATCTGACTCAATTTAATAGTTTTGACAACATGTATAGTCTACTGGTATAAATTGCTTGTGGATGTATTTGATAATTAGGAGGAGTTGCAGCTGTTACTTCAGTTATTGTTTGTTTTTTGAAAAATTCTTTGGCTTCTTTAATTTAGATTTTAAGTACATTATCAAAAATTTTATACATAAAGTTTATACTATCAAAAGAATAATATTTATCTAACTCTGTGTATAATTCATCAAAAGTAAGCTGATATATAATTTGGGCATCCCAACATTGCAAAATCATTTGTATAATTAATTTAGATGTGTGAAATGGAATTTTTAGTTGAAATCCATTACATATTTTAAAAAGTCCAATTTTTATTGTGTGATGCAGAGGAAGTCCAGTGGTGATTTCAAAAGCAACAAATGCAAATGAGTAAACAACAGTGCCTTTGTATATTCTTCTCCAAAAAATGCTTCGGGTGTCATATAGGGCAAAACTCCAAAAATGATATTCTTTAAGAGAATTTTTATGTTTGCTATAGTTAATTTACCCAATCCAAAATCCAATATACACATTCCAAATTATATTTAAAATATTTCTGGGGTAAAAATCACAATGAACTATATTCAATTTATGAATTTTTGAAAATTTTCCAGCTAAATTTTTTAAATGTTCTAATTTATTTTTCCAATTGATAATATTAAAATTATTATTTAAATAATTTCTATGACTTCCACCTTTAAAATATAATAAAACAATCATATATTCGCGAGTTTTCAGATCTTTTGTAATTCCATAAAAAAGGACTAATGACCTTTTACAATTTGTTCTCAAGAGAATTTCATTCTGTAATATGATGCAAAAATAGTTAAGTAATAGATGCAAAATAATTCTATAAAAAATATTCCTTGACCAGTACAGTTATCAGATCTCAATCCAATTGAGCATTTATGAGGTGTTTTGGAAAGAAAAGTTTGTAAACATGATTCACATCCAAAAAAATCTGACTGTTTTAAAGGATGAATGGAATAATATTGAACCTGTAGTTTTAGAAAATTTGTAGAAAATATGCCAAGAAGAGTTCAAGTTGTAATAGATAGCTATGACAATCTAACAAAATAACAATAATAAAAAATGAAAAATTATATTTAACATTTTAATAAATTATATATGCAATTAATTATATAAATTTTTTTAATAAATTAAAATTAATAAACAAAAAATTGTGATAATTATTACAAAAGGTAAAATAAAAAAAGCTCAAAATTTAATATTAATAATTTACATATATAAAACTTTATTTATTTCATAATAAAACTTAAAATATGGATATTGTCTACATTCTATCAAAATCTCAAAGTGATATATTAAGAAATGAATGAATAATTGGTGTGGAAATCAAAGATTACAAAAATTTCTTTAAAATTCAAATGATTGTTATATTTTCAATTTTTGCTAAAAAATTATAAGACTTTTATGTAGATGCACTTAATTCTAATCTTTGATGTTACTTAGTATAATTTTTATTATTTCAATAATAATAAATCAAGTTTTTATGTGAATACTATTGGTAATTATTTTCAAATTTTTAAAAAAATTTTGTGTAAAATCCCGTGTCGATCATTTTTAAAAAAATTAGAAAAAAATCTGAAATAATTACCAATCGTAGCAACATATAAAACTTATTTATCTATTAATATAAAATAAAAATGATACTAATCACAGTTAAAGTTTAATAAATGGAGCATCTACTCTGAAAGTTCTAGATTTTTAAATTGAGAATTGAGTTTATTATTAACGGTTGAATATCAGACGTTCTAAAATTATACTCTGAATTTTATTCGTGTATTATTCATTCAATTCTCAATATATAGGGCTGAAATTTTTGTAAAAGATGCTCTATATATCAGGGTATAAGGTGAATTAGTACTACTTTTATTGTTAAATTAATAAATAATTAAGTTTTTTATGTATAAACTATCGATATTTATTTTCGGATTTTATTTTTATTTTTTTAAAACTTTTATTAAATTTCGGTCGTTTTTATTCACGTCTAATTAAAGACAAAATTTATATTAAATACTGCAAAAAACACAATAACTAAATTTATAGATATTATTTTTTGCTACAATTTGATATAAGATAGTTGGTATTTACCTTTAATATCTATCGAATGCGGTATGGGTATCGTTAAAAGATTAATTTTTTTAATTTTTGTCAATTTAATTTGAAGCGCAATTTCTCTATAAATAGACGTTAAATTTTATCACAAAATATATCATATGATAACCTTGGTTTAGGGGAATCTAATAAAAAAATGTTTATGCAATTTAGATCACTCATTGTGTTAATAATTTTTTTAGGTGGTCCAATACTTTTGGCAGGGGAATGTACAAAGAAATATCTACATTATTATAAAATTCATGCGATACTAATTCAGATGTAGGGTAAAGTTATATTTGTAAACACAATTTCTTATCGTTAATCAGGCAATGAACCATTGATAATTGATGTAATAATTGAAATGTTACGAAAAGTAAACATTATTGTGATTTATGTATGCTATAATAACAAACGATTTCATACAAAATAAATAGAAGTATTTTTCTGCTTTTTTTTCAAAGCTTCCTAAATATTTTCTACTTCAATGATGATGTTGAAAAGAACCTTTTTTTTTCGTCGCAATTACTCTAGTTTTCTCAATACTTTTATTCTTATAACCAGTAACTGCCAAAAGAAATGTCTGCATTAAGACATGTTGTAGTACTAAAATTGTATGTCCCACGAACTGTCCAGGCTCAAAAACTGTTTCCGCCACTATTTTCACTACAACACCACTTTTTCCACCTCTACCATCACCACTACCATTACAGAATATGCTCAGTCCCTTTTAAAGAGGCATAATATTAGAGACAAATGCAAACCGACCGTTATCGTGAAAACTGTTACCAAACCATGTTCATCAACCAAAACTACAACATTAACAAGTACCTCAACCATCACCGTCACTTCAATTGTTACCACCGCGAAAACTGAAACCATTACCACATGTGCACCCCCTTGTGCTTCCTGTGGTCAATTACCTCAGATTAATTGCTGCAATGGTTTATGCTATGTTGAAGGATCCACTACTACCTGCTTATAATAAAATTACTTCTACATAATGATGCCGCAAAAAAAAATTTTTTACCTTTAATAATAACAATAATACCAATAATAAAAAAACACAACGGTTAATAATTATATAATAATTAAACAGCACTATCATCAATATACTACATAAATTTTATTTTAAAAATAATAATTTAAACATATTTATTTATAATATATGATTTAACTATCCCAGTAATAATTTCGATTACTGCTGCAGTAAAATCATTCCCTGCTTTCATAATCACTAATTTCATAATAAACAATAAAAAAAAAAGAATTTTCATTCTTTTAATCGTTCTTTTATATGTTCTTCTCGTTGTCTTTCTACTTGTTCTTTATATAATGTTCTTATCAAAGAAAATAATTATTTAAAATTCAATTCATTCTGAGTAATGTTGTTATTTTTGACATTTCCCTAACAAATAAATATTAGTTATTTATACTAATATAATTAAAAATTAATAGAACTTACATAACTTACATTATGAGTAATGAAAAAAAATCGTTTTTCTAACCGTGTAGACATTTTAGATTTGTATAACATATATTCCTTGCGAACGTTGTTATACGCCTACGTCACATAAATATCTATATTAGTTTTATTATAGGTATTATATTAATTGATAAGCAACAATGAATAATACTGGTAGGGAATAAAAAATCGACATCATAAGTCTTATGACTGAATAAAGATAAGATTTTCTGACTCTTTTATTTATGTATATTTATTTTATCTTCTTATTCTTTAAAATAATATAAAAATATTTAAAAGAGAGTTCAAAAAAAATTATTTAAAGTTTGACGAAAAATCTTGTTTAAAATATAACTATTTATTGTCTTTTTGAAACCAACAAGTTTCAATTAAAAATGATTTTACTTCCAAATCAAGAAAGATACAATAAGTATATAACTAAATTTCGATTTGAGTCTTTCTCTTATTTTATGTCTCGCCATGACTCATAAGCACTCATAATAAATAATACAGTTTTTATTTCTTTTATCTTTAGATAATACCTTGTAATTTTTATTATCCGATACCCTACTATGATCAGGATTATCTAATAATTCGAATTATTTGATAACACTTGTGACCAGCTAATATACTTAAAATAGTTTTGACCAGGTAAACTTTAAGCACAAGTTAATAATTAACTATTTATTTTTTTCTATTGTTATTGCTTCCATTTTAATTTTTTAATTACAGTACATGAATTAATGCTTTTTTCTTCTTTTTGTAATCTTTACATACTATTTCAATAATTCGTAATATTACTATTTATTTCCTAAATTGAACTTCATAGTTCCTTGAAAATGCTTTAAAATATGTACGCTCAATAATCGACAGTTCATCAATTATGATGGTGAATATTCCCGTTGTGTACGAATTGTACGAATTCCAAGAATAAATTCTATCATTTCATGCTCCAACTGATCCTTGTTGTAATAGATTCAATGCCATAATTGTAATCAACATCAGACCACTAATCCTCTAAGATTCTAAACCCATTTCGCTGTTGCTTTTCGGGTATTTGCGGGAATCGTACCAGTAATGATTTCTTTTATTTCGTCGCTAGTTGGTTTATGATATTTAGTTTTTACTAATTTTTGTCATATTATTTTTTAACTTATTATTCGAATTCGACAGAAGACAAGTTCATTTGATAAGTGAAAAAGATCAAAAGCGAAAGAAAAAAATCAAACGTAGACAAAAGTTTATTATATATAGATATCGTATCGTTATTTCATCATTAAACTTTTTTTTAAGAAAAAAATTCGTTTAAGGAGTACCAAGTGCTTCCGATCGTCGTAGGATATCGGATAATACCGTTATTGTCGATATAATAATATCGTGATCACATAGATTATGATGCAATTGTATCATATATCAAATAACTATTGTATATTAAAATATGAATGATGCATGAATATTTTTATTTGGTAAATTTTTTTAAGAAAGGAAATCGTTTATGTAATACCGCTTTTTGTATTT